CTGTAGTTTTTCTTTTCTAGCTGCGAATTTGACAGTGCGGGATAAGCTAAATTGACTGATAAATTCGATTGCTGGAGGTGGAGATCAATACCAGGTTCATCTTCAAGTTGTAGTCATTGCCTCCGTTGCGATAACCACCTCCAACAAAAAAACTCTTCCTAACCGATTCACCGCTCCTTCTTGGTCTCACTGCCAGCGCTGTTATCGACAAGGCAATTCTGGAAGCCGCGCTCTAGCTCATCACGGTCGAGCCCCTGACCGATGAGCACTAAACGCGAGACTCGCTGCTCTCCAGCTTCCCAGGGTAACCCAGGAGCGATAGTATACGTGTCCAGTACACCTTGTACGATGCATCTGCGGTCTTCAGCGTCTCCAGCAACTGAAAGTACACCTTTCACACGTAACACGTCTGCTCCCTTCACATATCGAGTGACCACTTCAGAAAGCCACTCGCCAAACGCAGCAACGTCCACGTCGCGTTCGACTTCGAAGTGCACCGTGCTAATGCCTCCTGTATGTTGCCCACGTGCCTTCACACTTCGCTTGACTCCATTAGCTGCATCGCTCTGCGCATTGAAGCGCACTGCATCGAACGTCTTGACATTCAAGATCTTGCCCAAGTCGATATCAGCCTTCACGCAGCTACAAACCGTGGCTTCCTCGTTAATCTCCGTTAGTGCCTTCTCCAGTCTCTTACATTCGTCCTTGGTAGCCACATCCACCTTGTTCATCACGATAATGTCCGCATACAATGCCTGTCGTTGGAGTTCAATAGGGAATTCATACCTTTCATTCTGCTTCCAGTATCTCTGCGTTGCCTTGGCATCCACCATCGTGACAATAGCGTCGAGTCTAAATCTCGACGCTCTGAGTCTCAAGAAGGTCTCAATAATAGGCCCCGGGTCTGCCAGACCTGTGGTCTCCACTATAAGGTAGTCGAAGCTCTGCTCTTGCACCAACTGCAGTAGATAGTCCAGGATACGTTCCAGCTCGTCTCCGCCCTTCCCTTTGCCACCTCGAGCAGTACAGCACATGCAGCCATTCTGCAACACGTAAATCCCGTCCTTCTCCTTACCCCCAGCCTCTAACAGTGTGTGGTCGATGCTGACGGCACCTAGTTCGTTCTCCAGCACCATAATCTTGTAAGGCAGCTTGTCCTCGGTTAGGAGAATCCGATTGAGGAGCGTGGTCTTCCCGGCGCCTAAAAAGCCTGTTAGAATGGTCACAGGCACGGATGGAGCCCCGGCTTCCTTGGACTTAGCTGCTAATTCCTCCGTTTTACGCTGAATGCGGCGCTCGCGACGCAGTTGCATGCACCAGGCGACGACATTTGCCAGAAGGAAGGAAAATACCAATAGAACGACAATCACGACGCCCAGTAGTGTCCAGAATCCGCGAGGAGACAGCGAAGACGACGGAGCAGCAGTTGCGAAGTAGATTTCATCCTCGTAGGCCGCATGGGGCCCGGCAGAAATCATCGTCGCCAGCAGGCCGAGCAGCATTTCTTGGGTGTATCCGTACGGTCACAATGATAGGCGAGGTTGATTATGTCACAGAACGTTATGTAGTGTACATAAAAATTCAAATTCAAGCTGGGAGTTAGCGAAAACCGTATGGAAAGAAAAAAATATCGTGACGGAAGCCGTACCTTCCACAAATTTCGGTGCTCCTTGGAAAGGAGCATTTCGATTGGCCGGGATGGCATGACGAAAAAACAACCCATTAAAATTTTAATGGTTTTTTTTTCGTCTGAATGCCATCCAACGGCATGGTTTATTTGGGTTATTCGGAGCCAACTCAAAATAGTCCAATTTTGGGTTGTAATAATATATGCTTGGATGGCATTCAGACGAAAATAACCCATTAAAATTTTAATGGTTTTTTTTCGTCTGAATGCCATCCAACGGCAAAGACATTTTCTACGAAAGTTGTACACGGAAAGAATTGTCAGCACGGAAAATGGATATTCTGTGTATCTTACATCAAGTTGAAGTGACTACATCACTTTCTTCTTATTGTACCACATGAAGGTGCCTGTGTCCTCGTCAGACGCGTATTTGTACGGCTCCGTGGCGGGAATGGACAAGCTTTTGGCACTGGATCTGCACGACAACCAGTCTATGGACCCGAAGGCTACTTCTCAGCCCTCGGAGTGTGATGAATGCGAGCAGCGAGCAGCTCAACTGAGCTGCGACGACTGCGGTCTGGTGTATTGTTCTCAGTGTGACGTCCACAGGCACCGTAAAGGGAAACTGCAATTGCACCAGCGCGTGCGGACTACAAGGAAACGTGTCGAAGCACCAGAACTTGAAGAAATCCAAGAGAAAGCTGAAAATGCTACTGCAAACTGGAAAAACGACGACGTGTGCGAATGGCTCGAAGCCCACGATCTAAAGCTGTTCGTGGAGGAGGCACGGGATCAAGCAATAACTGGAGCAACTTTACTATCTCCTGGAGGCCTGGAAAAGTTTCTGGATGCTGCAACGGGGGTTAGTCGTGGCCACAAGAAGAAGCTGCAGAGGGAGGTGCAGAAGATCCAGAGTTTGGCGAAAAGCCCGGCTTCTGAGGGGAAGATGACGCTACTACCGACCCCTTCACCACCCATTCAACGCACCAGCAGCTCTGTGCGTCGTATTGGACTGGGCTTGCGTGTTGATGTTGAGCCAGCGGCAGCAAAACCACCTTCTCGACGGGGATTGGGACAGTTGAAGATCGAAGTGAGTGAAGATGACCGCTCGGTTTTCACAGCTCCAAAGAGGACTTCTGGAAGGCAGAACTCTGGATCACTGGGACTGGATATGGCACAGGTCAAAAAGGAGGAGAAGACAGTGGCAGCATCGTTTGACTTCTCAGCCACAGGGAGGCTGCAGACGCAAGGCTTCGAGATCGACGTAAGCGATATAAAACTGAGTTTATATGTTACGTTAAACTAACTATTTGGCGTGTGTATTGCAGACACGGGGTATCGCTAATGCGCCCTTCTCAAACCCAAAGCAGCATTCAAGCGGAGCTAAACCTGCGTCAACTACTGAGTCGATCAGCACAAAAGACTACCTGCTTATACTGGAAGAGTTAGGACATGGAGCTGGTGGCAAAGTATACAAGGCGCTATACATGCCAACATTTAGACTGGTGGCTGTCAAGGTCATCCGCGTGTACGACCAGAAGAAGCGTCACCAAATGGTGCGTGAGCTCAAGTCTCTGTACGTGAATTTCGTCCCGCTTGCTACTGCCACATTTCCATCCACGTTCGCGGCAACATCATCAGCCACACAAGCAGCATGTGAAGAACTTGTAGTTTTCTATGATGCGTATACAAACCCCGAGATAGGCTCTGTATCAATTGTGCTCGAGTACATGGATGGAGGCTCGCTGGAAGACTACGTCCAATCTGCCAGTGAAGGAAGTGGGTGTTTGACAGAGAAAGAGATCGCAAATGTTGCAGCATGTGGCTTAAAAGGACTGGCATTTCTACATGAACATCACCAGCTGCATCGCGATATCAAGCTCAGCAACATGCTCATTAACCATCAAGGACAAGTCAAGGTGAGTCAGAGATTTTTTGTGGATCTAAGATTCGCTTATAACGCCTCCTATTGTATGTAGATATCGGACTTCGGCATCTCCCGTGATCTTGAGAGCACTTTAGCCAAGGCAACTACGTTCACTGGCACATTATTGTCAGTACTTCCGTAGATGGCTTCGTTGTTTTATTGTACTAACATGGGTACATTTTTTTCTTATTGTCAGGTACATGGCGCCTGAGCGGATAAGCGGAGGCATGTACTCGTACCCGTCAGATATTTGGTCTTTCGGGTTAGCTGTGATGACCTGTGCCATCGGAAAGCTACCCGTTCCGACTAAAGATGGCTACTGGGGCGTGGTTCATGCTGTACAAGAGCAGCCATCTCCACGACTTCAAGACTATGGTGACCATTTCTCTCCAGAACTCTGTGATTTTCTGGACCAATGTCTACAGAAAAATCCGATGTATCGCCCTCCTGCAGCTCGTCTTCTTGAACATCCGTTCATTAAGAAAAATTACTCGCCAAGGGAACAAGCGAATGTGCGATTGAGTCAGGAACAGCAGCCACCGACAGCAAAACAACTCGAACGTAGTCGTCAAGAGCTGCGGAGTATTGCGGAGAAGGCTCAGATCTGGTGCCACAATCATACTGATGCTCTGCGGATACTTTCGGCTACGAGTGAGACACAAGATACAACGAACCGCAGCAAGGTTGAGGCTCTGGCCACACAACTGCGTCTACCGGTGAATGAAGTGGCGTCGCATTTTACGTTCTTGAACGAGTATTGCAAATAACAACGTGTTTTCGAGTCCAGATGTAGCCATGAAGAAAATATTGTGAGATGGCTACTTTTTTGACATGGCTACAGATTGTGCAACATTACAGCAACATAAAAGAAAATGTACCCTAGTTACGTGTTCAATAATTTCCTGATACTCAAGTCAAAGATGGTGCGGCCCAGGGGGTTCCTCACGACGCTCGTCTTGCTGTCCACAACCGTCTTGGCGCTCCTCTCTCTATCATCACAAGCTGCAGGAGATCCCTGTCAACCGGCCGATGTGTTGTGGCTGTGGAGCGGTGCATTGACGTCTCGTTCCATTACGTTCAAGATTGGGTTACGCGAGGGTTCCACTTGTGCCAATTCCGACTTTGTGCTATACGCGTTTCCAGAACTGCTGAAAGGTGAGAAACCTCATTCCTCGATTGCAACATGCTCAGACGTAGACGGTGGTGAGGCTGGGGAGGGAGAGGTGAGAAGTCCCGCGTCTTACGAGACCCCCAACGTCAAGGAGTGTACCCTCTCGGACCTCCCACATAGTGATAGGAAGTATCGGTATGAATTGACTTTACTCAAAACCGGAGAAACTGCGAGGTCTGGAAGCTTCACGACGCCTCGAGAGGAAGGAACCCCATTCAACTATCGCGTAGCTTTCGCCTCATGTGCCGATGAGGCGTCAGATCCAACGGTAAGCTATAGTATTGGGAAATCCCATCTAACTACTATTCTAATTGAGATATATTTCTTTTTATTGTAGGTTTTTGAGGAGATTAAGAAAGAGAAGGCGCTCTTTTTCATGCATACGGGAGATCTACACTACCACAATTTAGTCGTGAACAATGTGGCGGCATTTCGAGATGGATACGACTCGATATTTGCATCTCCAGTGGGCCGAGCAATGCTAGCAATGGACATGCCGTTCGTATACATGTGGGATGACCACGACTTTGGTCCGGATAACAGCGATTCAACTGCACCTGGACGAAACGCGTCGGTTCAAGCGTATCATGAATTTGTGCCTCATTATCCTCTAATTGGAGGACGCTCACGCTCAAATACGGTGCACCAAGCCTTCACTATCGGTCGAGTTCGCTATCTCCTTACCGATTTACGCTCTGCTAGAACTCCAAATACCGCACCTGCTGCACCTACTAAGACCGTGCTGGGTAAGAAGCAAAAAGCGTGGTTTAAGAGTGAACTCGTCCGTGCGACGAGTGACCCAACTATTCGACTCATAATTTGGGTCAATACCATGCCGTGGCTGGACGACGAGCGGAAATGGGGACATTTCGTACACGAACAACAAGAGCTCGTGAATTTTATTAAAGCCCATGGTCTCAATAAATGGGTACCCATTGTGATCGTGAGTGGGGACGCACACATGTTGGCAGTGGATGACGGTAGCCACAGTCCAGGAAATCTCACGGTACTCCACTCTGCAGCGTTGGGACGTCCGGGATCGATTAAGGGAGGTCCATATAGTCATGGTGCTTTCCCTGGCTCGGGTCAGTACGCTGTAATGGATGTCACGGACGAAGGAGGCAAGGATGGACGCGTTTGTCTTTACTACAGGGGTATGAATATCTACTAAGGTAAACTGGTCGAGTTCGATACGTGTCATCCGGAACGTACCCCGCCGGTTACTCCGTATTATCCGCCACCGATCCCTGTTCGCATTATGATGCGTGTGTTCAAGAAGGCCAAGAAATATACTGGTACTGCAGCAGTTGTGGTGATTACTGTAATTGCTCTTCTTGTCTACAGACACAGACGCCAACGTACAGTTCACACGAAGAAACACAGCTAAAAACACCGTTAAAAAATGCTTCACATTTTTATTTTTTTCATAAATATCAATAAGAAAATATCAGCAGGCAGCCACAGTATCGGGGAGGAAGTGAGTAACGCCAAGGAGGTGCATTAATGGCTCAAAACCAATTGCAAATTCCACATATTGCAGACGGCAGCTTGGAGCGAAGCAATAGCAGATCATAGCGTCAAACGGGAGGTGCACATGCCGTTCCAGTGGCGGTACCGACGTCGTGTTGGTGTCATTTTCATCCGCTTCTTCATCCGACAAGGTCGACGTCGATTCGATACTCATTTGCCGTAGACGTCGCTCAACAGCCGTACCATTCGATGGCAACAGCGACAAACAAGTCGCTTTCGACGCAATGACGTACGTTTTCTTCGAAATCCGGTTAGTAGCTGTCAAGTGGAACGCAAAAATCTCGCGCTGTCCATCGTACGGAATTTCCAATGGGTCACTGTCTTCAGCTCCACGAGCTCCAGTTGATGTAGCTGACTCTGTAACTACACTCTGTTCTTGGTTCGACGGAGGATTTTCCGGTAGTTTCCCATACGATAGAAACACTCTCAGCGCGTACGACGTGGTATTCAGGAACACTCCTTCTCTCTGGACAGGTAGTATATATCTCGCATCTCCAACTTGTAACATCGCGTCAAATGTCCAATCCAGCGGTCGATACTGGAGTGGGTTGAATAAATACAGCAAGTACGTGTTGCTGACCAAGGCGTTGACACACAGTTCATCCCTTTGCAGTCTGTATCTCAGCGTATTGTCGTCAATACTAATCGTCATCCCAGACAATTCGTGCAGTTTTAACGACGCGTATGTGGCCGTCTCCTCTACATTTTCTCCAACCTGTTGAACTCGATCTGGAGTTTCTTGAATCGTAGAGGGTGGCGCTAACGGACGATAGATAACCCCGTCAATTGAAGCCCAGACCTGCATCATCATCAGTGATGATTGTAGAAATTCCTCGTCTTCTTCATCTTGAAATTTGTGGGTTACCCTTAATAAGGAGTTGGTGTCCAGTAATACTGGGGCTGGGAAGATCTGGAATAGCTCGCTCTCGAAGTTTAGCGAGCCTCTGAGGGCTGCTACGGACGCCATGAGGCTGATATGTTCGTTTAAAAGGCCTCTCGCTTCGTCCACGGACACCATACCGATCAAAGTCGAGATCTCCTGGATGGATCTGTTTATTCTTAATGAGAGGTCGAACATCCGCTTGCAACGGTTATAAACCACAGCTCTCTCCCTGGAGCACATGAGGGGAGTACCTCTCTCGATAGGAAAGAAGCGGGTCTCCCCCCGGTTATTCATAAGATAAACCCGGGCTGTGACTTGATCCACGGCCTTGCGACGGAACTGAGAGCGCAACAGGAAGCAGCGCCGCCAATGGCTCGTGGCAAAGCGCAGTTCTCCGAAGCGCTCGATGGTGCGCAGACGCCACTCAAGCTCGCAGATACTGGACACGTCGCGTGAGACCTGGGACAGCCGCTGCAGCTCCGACAGCGAGCAGAAGCCCAGCACGAAGGGAAGCGGCGCCACAACCGAGGCGTCAATCATGCTTGAACAAAAATGGCAAGAATAAATAGCTACAACCAATTTATAGATTGTACTAAATGCCTCGTTTATGGGATGTAGGTTATAACCTATAATTTTGTTACCGCAGTGTATCCATTGCAGTGTGTCTCGCTCACGTTGCCACCTGATCTCCAAGCGATCTCGCACATCTCCGAGCTGGTCAATGAGTACCTTCTCCCCGTCACCATTGATTCAGCAGTGTACAATGACCTTCGGCATGTCGTTCATCGCTTCGGCGATTCTCGAGTTTGGAGCCATGGATAGAGCTGCAGCTAAAGGACAGGTAGCCATTATGGAATGGCTCCATTCGAGCCGAAACGAGGGTTTCTCAGCTCTTGCGTTCACCAGAGCGGCAGCTAACGGTCACTTGCAGGCTTTTACCTGGCTCACCCAGCACTATTCACAGCATTCATCTCCAGCAAATTGTTTGACTGCTGCAGCCGAGAACGGGCATATAGAAATCGTGAGACTTTTACGCCCTCAAGTGCATCGGCGTCGTGTTGACCTCGCTATCGAGTCAGCGGCTGCAAATGGGCAAGTTGGCTCTATCAAGGCGCTCTTACCTGGCAAAACAACTGATGCTTTCGTTATCAGCGACAAATGGAAATGTTGAGGTGCTGGCGTTATTCATTGCTTATGGCTACAGTTGGAACCTTGCCGTTAGGAATACTGCCCTAAAAAGGCAACACGCTATGGACATACTGACGTCATCAAGTTACTGCTATCAAGGTGTAATGAATTTGGTGCTTGCAATGCCCTTCGCTCTGCAGCAAAATGGGGTCAAACAAGTGCGATGGAACTGTTTTTAATTAGGGACCCATTTAAAAAAAAAAAAAAAACAGTAGTGGCGAAAGTGCTGCTAATGGTAGTCGAGAGCGCTCAATACGAAGTGGCCAAACGGATTATCGACAAATTCCCTGAAAGCGATGGAATGGAGACGGGTTGGGTCTTAGATCTCCGATCGAAAACAAGGCGCGCCTAATGACCCAAATTCTTATCAACAGTGCTATACGTTCTGCAGCTAAAAGAGGTTGGACTGCAATAGTGAAGGCGCTAGTGGAACGATTTTCCTTTGTATCAATTGGACCTGCGCTGATTCTAGCAGTTGAAAACCGGCAGTACGAAGTCGTGGGATTCCTGCTTCACTCCAGCGACTCAAGTATTTTGTCAACTATTGGCATAGCATTAGAAAATGTAGCCCTTTGTGGTGATGCCAAGACGGCAAAGCTGCTGGTCAAGAGATCAAGTTTCCACGACGCAGCTCGAGCGCTAAATACTGCAGCAAGTAGAAACGATTTGGCCATGGTAAAGGTGCTTGCAGCCAAAAGTGGAGAGTCTTACAGAGTGGATACGTTCAAGGTTGGTGCGATGGTACGAGCAGCAAAGGATGGACGCATGGAAGTGATGGAGACATTGATCAACTACAGCAATAACCGAACAAAGGAAGAAGCGGTACTGCAACTCTCGTCCATTGCGAATACGGATGTGTTGAGCTCGATTGTCGAGCTCGATTGTCGAGAAATGCGAACTGAAAGCGTATGAATATCTCTTCACTGACGCCGCAGCGAAAGGACTAACCGAGCTGGTACAGCAGTTGATGCGTCGAGTGGATGTGAACACCGTCCGTGGATCTCTCGTAGCCGCCGCTATGAATGAACATACAGAGGTGGTTAAAAATGCTGCTTGACAAAAATGATCTATCAAACGTAGTTAAGGTGCGTGAAGCAGTGGCCAGGAGCGACCACGCCAGTGTTGTGAAATTGCTTTGTGCTTCTATATGCAATGGCAGTGATGAAAGAATTCTAAACTCCGGCTATCTGTATCTATTTACGCTATGTCGGGGTCCACTTCTACAGATTTGAATACGGTTTGAAGTGACTGATAATGCGTATGGCACGGAAGAAAACCGGCACCCGAAATCGTTGAATTGCTGCTTTACTTTACATCCGTGTGATCGACAAAAGTACAGCTTAGCCACAGACGTACAGTATACGTTAAGTTTAATGAATATTGATCGCAAATTCGGTTCGTGAACTCACATT